TTGGCCTTGCCGTCGTCGTCGTCATCATCGTCATCACTACCGCTACTATCATCATCGTGTCTACCATTGCCGACGTCGCCATGATACCGCGCCCGCCCAAGTCACCCACTCAAGGAAGTGTCCGTTGGGAAATACCCGGTGGTCAGCGCCACCGCGGCCGCGTCGGCCGCGCCAAATTTGCCGGCCGCTGGGCGCGCGAGCATGTGCGGGCCAGCGCGGCCGCAGAGATGCACCAGCCAACACCACGCACCCATCGCAATCGCCGCCGCATAGGTTTTGCAAACCAAGTTGTGGGTGGGTGGGTGGAGTGATTGCGTGAGTTGTGGATTCGGCAACGCATTAGTGGACGTAGGTTAATTGCGCCATAAACATTACACCGCATAGGCTGCACCATATGGATTGTACGACATAGATTGCAATTCGCAGTGCAGAACATATATTGGACCACGTAGCTTGCGCCACATGGATTGCACCAGTTAGGATGCACAACGCAGATTCTCCTTCCCCAAAAAGATATACTCTACTCCCCCCCTGGCGTTCGCCGCCCCCCTTACGTGTATGTAGATCATGTATGATTCTGACCACATGTCCATCCTAAATATGAATGTGCGTTATCCCTGGGGGGCCGGTATCGGCCCACCTGAGGTTCCCTTGTTAAAAAACAATACGCGGGGACATGTTTTGTTCCAACATGAGATTTTGTCACGAATCCCGTGTAAAAATTGGACGAAGTGCACACGCGCGCGTCGTCGCGCGCGCATGCCGAAATCCTTCAAAATTCCATGTGCCGGAAACATTTCGCAATCGAGTTTTCCCAAAAAAAACATACAAAAACACACGGTTTCGCAACATTGAGTTGCTAAAAAAACTTACGCGCGAACTTCTGCGAGATCTTAAGCAAACCATCGTATTTTCAAGATTTTCACAACATGCTACCAAACGGGCTTCGCGCGCGCGCATGTCGAAATCTGTCGAACGCCCTTGCGCGTGTGCCGTCACGAGAATCCTTTGCAAAAAGTGAGACGAAATGCAGACGCGCGCGTCGTCGCGCGCGTATGCCGAAATCCTTCAAAACCCATCGGTTTCGGAAGGATTCTTTCAAAATCGTGTGTCCAAAAAAACCTACAAAAACCCAAGGTTTCGCAACACGGATTTTCAACAAAAGAATGCGCGCGCGCTCTTGCGTCGTCGTCGTCGTCGTCGCCGTCCTCCCTCCTCCCGCGTCGTCGTCGTCGTCGCCTACGTCGTCCTCTGTCTTTCCTCGTGTTCGTCGTCGTCGTCCTCTTTGGCGTCGTGGTCGTTTCCGTCGTCGTTGTCGCCGTGGTCGTCCTTCCTCCTCCTCCCTCGTCGTCGTCGTCGTCGTCCGTCGTCGGCGTCTCGTCGTCGTCCCTCCTATTTCGTCGCCGTCGTCGTCGTCGTCGTCGTTGTCGTCGTCGTCGTTCCCTCCTCCCTCGTCGTTGTCGTCGTCGGCGTCGCCGTCCTTCCTCCTTCTTCGTCGTTCGCGTCGTCGCCGTCCTCCCTCCTCCCTCGTCGTTGTCGTCGTTGTCGTCGTTGTCGCCGTCGTCGTCCTCCCTCCTCCGTCGTCGTCGTCGTCTTCGTTGGCGACGTCGTTGTCGTCGTCGTCGTCGTTGTCTTCGTCGTCGTCGGCGTCGGCGTCGTCGGCGTCATCGTCGTTGTCATCGTCGTCGGCGTCGTCGTCGTCGTCGGTGTCGTCGTCGTCGTCGTCGTGGTCGCTGTCGTCGTCGAAGTCGTTGGAGACGTCGTCGGTGTCGTCGTCGTCGGTGTCGGCGGCGCCGTCGTCGTCGTTGTCGCCGTCGTCGTCGGCGTCGGTGTCGTGGCCAAGTGCCATCTGGTACCTACCGTCACGGTCTTGTCTTAAGAGGTCTTGCGACCAAGTTGCGGGTGGTAGGGTGGGATGCTTGCACAAGCAGTGGAGAGGACAGCTTCAAGACGGCCAAAGTGAGTTGCACTACATATATTCCCCTTTGTTACAAGAGAATAATAGACTCCCCCCCTCTGGGATTATCAATTCGGTTTCTCGTAAGGCAATGTACAAAACGATTCCCCCCCATGGTCCATTCGAAATACGAAGTGAATTTACACCATCCCAGGGGGGGCGGTATCGCCCCCCCCTCCCCGCCATCCTCTGCAAAATATTATATGCGCGCGCACTCGTTTATCAAAAACCATTCACTCATGTTCAAGAATCCCTTACAACAGGAAAAAAAGGTGACGAAGTGCACACGCGCGCGACCCCGCGCGCGCGTGTCAAAATCGAGTGTCCAAACAACATATAAAAATGCATGGTTTCGCAACACGGATTTTGAAACGAAATTTGCGCGCGTTTTTGCAAATTCACCCGACCCAAAAAAAAACAACGGTTGTTCACCATTCTCAGAAAATGCAACCAAAAGGGCTTCGCGCGCGCGTGTCGAAATCGTTCGAACGCCCTTGCGCGCGTGCCGTCGCGAGAATCCTTCGAACGCCCTTCCGGCATGAACGCGCGCGCGTCGTCGCGCGCGCATGGCAGAATCCGTCAAAAAATTATGGTGCCGTAGCGATGTCAAAACTGGCAGTCCTACACACATCTAAAAAAGCATGGTTTCGAACATCAGGTTTCAAAAAAGCTTGCGCGCGCGCCCTAGCAAATTCTTAAGACAATTATGGATTTGGTCAACATGTCCATGGAATTCTGCCAAACTGGCCGCTAGCGCCGCATGCCGAAATCATTCGCGCGCCCTTGCGCGCGTGTTGCGGGGGCACGACCCGTGTCAGGTATTACCATGCGGGCCACTCGCGCGTCGGCCGCGCGCGCAGGTCGAACTCTTTCCAAAACCTTCATCACCGAAGCGAAGACGCCGTCATCGTCGCCAGCGTGATCAGCATCGGCGCCCGCACTGGCCACGTTGTCAACATCGCCACCAGCATCGCTACGATCATCATCATGACTGCTGTTGTCGACGTTGCCATGATACCACGCCCGCCCAAGTCGCCGACTCGCACTGAAGTACCCGCTGGGATGTGCCCAGAGGTCAGCGCCACCGCGGCCGCGTCGGTCGCGCCAAACTAGCTGGCCGTTGCGTGCGCGTGCTTGGGTTGGAGCGGCCGCAGAGATTGACCAGCCAACGGCAAGAATCCATCGCAATCGTCGCCGCATTTGTTTTGCAAAGCAAGCTGTGGGTGGGTGGGTGGGATGTGTGGAAAAGCGTGGAACGCTGCAAAAATCGATCGCGCACTTTAGCATGCACCACATAGCTTGCACAACATGGGTTGGAGCGCAATAATCGCATCACACGCACTGCACCACAAAAGCTGCACCACCGAAGCTGCACAAACCAAATGGTGCCATTCCAAAGTACACCACAAAGATCGCACAACGTAGATTGCACAGCAGATACTGCACCACATAGACTGTCCCACGTGGACTGCACCACATACGTTGTACTGCACATGTTGAACCGCAGAGATTGCACCACATAAAATATTGCACAACTTAGATTGATTGCACCACGTGGAGTGCGCAACACCTATCAAACGAACCACACGTATTGAACCACATCGATTGCACAGCGTGCGTTGCTCAACCTAGGTTGCGTACATTGCACAATGTGGACTGTTAGAACCACACTGTTTGGGGGTCACATTGTCTAAGTTGTTTTTTTCCCCAACCATCCTGTGGTGTTGGGTCCTCGCTTTGAAGAGACAGCGCACCGCGTTCTCCCTCGTCCTCTTCCTCCTCCTGCCCGTTCCTCCTACGATCTCTGCGCGGCCACCACACCCATTTTGGCACAACCCTCACACGCTTCGTGGCTCAATAAGGAGCCCCACCGAAGGCCCAAATGCCAGCGGTCGCATGCGGCCACTGCACCCATTGTGGCACACCCCTCACACGCTTCGTGGCTCCACAGGGAGCCCCACCGAAGGCCTAGATGCCGGCGTTCGCATGCGGCCACTGCACCCATTTTGGTACACCCCTCACACGTTTGGTAGTCCCATAGGGAGCTCCTCCGAATGCGGTGCATATAACGACGTATTCACAATTGCATATGGTTGGGTCTTTCGCCAGGCTAATTCTTGAATGTGGGCGTCTGGGCCCCGTCTTGGGACCTCTTTCGGCTTTCGTGCAGGTGATCAGGGCCCCATGGATTATTAGTGAGGCCTCTTGTACGTCTTGGGAGGCACTTCGGAGGCGTCCGAGGGTGGAGGTCGAGACCCTGAGGGCTGTGGAGGCTCGTCGGCGTCGCCTCCTGATTTTGGACCCTCAGGGGAGGCAGGGGGAGAGGGGACAGCCAGTCATTCACTTTTTGCTCCGGCCGCTGGGCAGAGGGCGACTGCTCCGGCGGGTAGGCAACAGGGGGCACGCTGTATGCAAATTAGGGCCGCCGTGCACGGAAGGAGGAGCAGGAGCCCCGGCGCGACGAGGAGAGAGGAAGCAGGGCCACTCAGAGTTGCCGGCTGCGGCGGGCGAGCACAGCCAGTCATTCACACACGCCTTGTCACCTCTGGGAAGCGTGGGTCGGCCGATTTCTTCGCGTACAGTGGGGGCCCATGCCAAGAAACACCTTGCTTGTCTCCAGGGTGCCCTGGGTTTGTTGGGTTTCGATGGCTTGTGTTTCTGAAAGTGTGACGTTCCACGCCAAAAGTCCATGGACGGTATGGGGTGTCAGGATTGTGTTTCTTGTGGAAGGTTTCTTGTGGACTGGCCTTCATTGTATGCTTCTAAGCGCCGATGGGTCCTACGGAGCGTGCCTTGCCACGAGCTTTCGGCAAGTGCCGAGGTTACCAAACAAAGCGCGTTGAGACTCCTACTCCTGGTCAAGAGGCAGCTGGGAGCCTGGCGAACAAGAAAAGGCGTCTGAGCAGATTCCGCCCTCCTGAGCCCACTGCCAGGACATGTCCACATTATCATCTCCCACATGTATGGCGGTCAGCGTTCATACAATGCGTTCAGCAGGCTGAATGATTCGCCGCATTTGTTCGCCAGGCTCCTCTTATCGAAGGAAATGATCGACGGCGAAGACGACTTGGCCCCAGACGGGGCGAACTCGGCCCGCGACCCGAAGCTCAAGGACACCAGCATCCTGGGTACTTGCCGCAACAGCCAATGGCACAGGACCTGCTCCTTTTGGGTTTCCCTGCACGTCATGGCCCTCCGCGCTGACTCGCTGGGCCTGGGCACACGCTTATTCCAGACGGCACTGAACGTCCTCGCAGGCGGTGCCACCATGTGTGGTGGGTGCACCTTGCACTTACAGGCACTACATGCACCAGTGCTGACTGACATCAAGGCTGACACTGGGCCTGTTCACTGAGCCAACGACCAGTGCTTCTACGCGCACATGCACTACAACGACGTGCTTGAGCCGTGCATGGAAGCACAGTCTTCTGAGTCCTGCGACGGACAGGCTGGCGAGATCGATGGCGCGCTCGCCTACAGGAGCTGGGTGGCGTCGCAGTGGAGCAGCATCGCGGCCACCCCCGCCCTCGTTGCCTTCCATAATCTCGTCACCGTCTCGATAGAAGCGAAGTACCTCCAGGGCCAGCAGCAGCACCTGTACTGCGCCCAGAACGCGGCTGCCGAGGTGCCCGCGGAGTACGTCGGCGACCTCACGCTCCCGCAGGCCGGCACCCTCGCCCCGGTGGCCGTGGGCGTGCCCGGCCTCGACCCCGACTCCAGCACTTTGCCCTGCCGCTAAGCTGCCACCATGGGCGAAGCCTACCCCTTCAGGCCTGTTCGGCACAGGGGCATCGCACACCCCCGCTGGGGTTCACTTTCGCTTGGCTGTGGACACCCCTCTCGAGTTCTGAACGCCGGCCGGCGTTTCAGGAATGCTGACCTCCTAGGGGCAGGGCTCGCCTGTGGTTGCCCAGCGAATCCTCTGGCCCCCCGCTGCGTGGCGCGAAGAGGCGCGAGGCAGGAGGTGCCCGGGGGTCTCGAAGTGAAGGCAGACGCAGCGGAGCGGTCCGCCGGCCCGGTGGGCCCGCCGCACGGCGGCCCGACCCGGCTACCAGTCGCAGCCCTGCCTGAGCGAGGCCTTCGCGTCCTTATCAAACGGGCCGAGATCCCACGCCTGGAAGGGTTTCTCCGAAGGGCTTAGGCGACCCGTCCTGCTCCACCGCCTCCTCCTCCTCCTTCTCTTCCTCCCCCTCCTCCTCCTCCCCCTCCCCCTCCCCTCCCCCTCCTCCTCATCTTCCTCCTCCTCCTCTCTTCCTCCTCCTCCTCATCTTCCTCCTCCTCATCTCCTCCTCCTCCTCCTCCTCCTCCTCCTCCTCCTCCTCCTCCTCCTCCTCCTCGGGTCGCCTACGGCCCCAGGGGAAACCGTGCACCCACGCCCATTCGTCGACGGCGCGCGCAAGGGGGCCGCGCGAGGGGGGGCCCCCCGGGGGCTTCTCAGAAGGCAGGGGCCCTCTTGGAAGAGCCCAGGGCTTCTCAGAAGCGAGGAAGGCTAAGGCTACCCCTCTCTCGCCATGTCTTTGTGCGCGCCGCCAACTTCGGGCGCACCCGCGTTCGATCGCACTACTTGGGCGGCAGCGTGCAGCGGTTTCCGGGGGGCCGCAGGCACTGTTGCATGGCTGGGTGCCCGTTTCCGAGTGCACCTCGGGCGCGTTTGTGGGCATCCACGCCGCTGAGGCGATTTGGGCTGCACGAGCATCTGAAACCGATGTCCGTCGTGCTGACCTGTAGTCGGGTTCGAGTGTTGCACGACGCCAGCGTGATTGGGCGCAAAGCAAGACAGGCATCCGAAGCATGTTTGGCATGTATGGCAGTGCGGATCTCAGCCCGTCACCATGTTTCCGCGCGCCCCATGTGGCCGCACGGCGAGGCCAAAGCTGCCTCCCACGCTCTTCGGGCACAGCCAGAGTCTAGCTAGGACGTGTTTCTCTGCGGGCCGTGCAGCACCTTGGAGAGCTGAGCGCCTGGTGCCCCACCTGAGTGCGCAGCAGCTTCCGATGCTGCAGGTCGGTAGGAATGCAGCGTGTCGCGTTCGCGAACCACAGACCTCGGTGTGGAGATTTGGCTGAGCGCCTGGACACGCCCCTCCTCTTCATCAGAATCCGAACAGTCCCTCGCTCCCCGAGACCTGACGTCTTCTCTCCACGGTTATCCAGGTGCTTGCGGCAAATCCGCCACCGTGCCAGCGAAGCAAGTTGTGAGCCGACCCCTCGAGCACCGCACGCATGGCCGTCACACTCCTCGTCTCCATGTCCTGAGACGTTCACATGGGGATAACTAGGGCCGACTTGGAGCTGCCCAGGGCTCCTGTGAAGCAGTGGGGCTCCCTCATGGGCCGTATTGGGGCTCTGATTGGCCGTCATAAAGGGGCCCTCCTTGGCCGTCGGGGGTGGTCTCCTTTGGACAGGACAGTCTAGGAGCCCTCTTGGGGCTCTTGGTGAGCCCCTACTGGGCTTTCCAAGACCGCGAGAGAATCTTGAACCGAAAAGTGAAGCGAGATGCCTTGAAAAACGATGGGGGGCTAGATGTGTTCAGCTCCTCGCGTCCTGGAGAGCGCGCTGTGAGTATCTTAGGGCCCCTTGGGAGCTTCTTGGGCCTCTTTGGCGCCCGTGAGGGGGTCTTGGGTGCGTATTGTTAAGTCGGGCGTGTCCCTCTACAGAAGGAGTATTCAAGAATAGTCAAAGAATAGTCTGGGGACGATTTTTCTACAAATATACGTATTTTTGATAATTTCCCCACCATCCTGTGGTGTTCGGTCCTCGTTTTGAAAAGACAGCGCCCCGCGTCACTCCTCCTCCTCTCCTCTCCTCGCCTCTCCTCCTCCTCCCCCTCCTCCCTCCTCCCATCCGCCTCGTCACCCCCCTGCGTTTCGCCCACCCAGTACAGCTTTTCGTGGCCCCATACGGAGCTCCACCGAAGGCTCCAGTGGCACAGGCCGCATGCGCCAACGCCACCCAGGACAGCGCTTCGTGGCCCCACAGGGAGCTCCACCGAAGGCTCCAGTGGCACAGGCCGCATGCGCCAACGCCACCCAGGACAGCGTTTCGTGGCCCCACAGGGAGCTTCACCGAAGGCTCCAGTGGCACAGGCCGCGTGCGCCAACGCCACCCAGGACAGCGTTTCGTGCCCCATAGGGAGCTCCACCGAAGGCTCCAGTGGCACAGGCCGCACGCGTCAACGCCACCCAGGACAGCGTTTCGTGGCCCCACAGGGAGCTCCACCGCAGGCTCCAGTGGCACAGGCCGCATGCGTCAACACCACGCAGGACAGCGTTCCGTGGCCCCATAGGGAGCTCCACCGAAACCGGTACCCACAGTGCGGTACTCGCTACTGCATATGTCGACTAGACGTAAGAGTGACCTTTCGCTGAAGTGACCTTTGGTGCGGGCCCACGGGCGTCCCCTTTATCGCCGAGCGCGGAGCGACGGTGGCGTCTTGCGCGTTCGTGTTTGGTCTCTCCGCGGCCCCCACAGAGCCGCGCACCAAAGGTCACTCTTGCCCAGGGTCACTCCTGCGTGTAGCCGAATGTGGTTGGGTCCTTCGTTATGGTTGATGATTTTTAAGTGTCACGCCCGACCTACGCGTCATGAGGCGACCCTGGGCCGCCCTGGCGGCCTGCTGGCCTGGAAAGTCGTCCCTGGAACGCCCCTGGGGAGCGCCGGGGAGGCGCCGAGGCGCCGCCAATCGGCGCGTCGCCCATGCCTCGCGCGAGGAGCACGTTCGAACAGGAACGAACGCCATCAGCATAAGCTACAAGCCTCGTCAAAAGTGTCCAGAAATGGAAGTTGACATCCTGGGGCACGATGCTTTCGCGCACTTGTCCGAAACCGCGTTCTTCAATGCTGAGAGGGTGGGGTCGGTTTTTGGACAACACCGCGTCCGAGTCAACATGTATCCGTCAGCACTGGAGTAGCGCTGACCCCACAATCACCGAATTCAGAAGTGTTCTGTTTATTTTTGACGAGGCTTGTAGTTATACCAGGCAGCGGCATAAACATAAACAATAACATACACATCGACAGAAACGCCACTACACATGACAACAGGCACAACGGTCAATCAAAATCACAGCATCACTTCCGTTCGAAACGCGTAGAAGAAGAACAACCGCCATAAACTTAAACTTCTGGCGCTCCGCGCGGACTTTTCGGATCCGCGCCGGGGCCCCCCCGGCGGCTGGCGCGCTCCGTGCGCCAGGGAGGGGGGGTCCAGCGCAGATCCAAGAAGCCCGCGCGGAGCGCCAGAAGTTTATGTTGATGGCGGTTGTTATTCTTCTACACGTCTCGAGCGGAAGTGATGCTGTGGTGTTGATTGACTATTGTGCTTGTTGTCGTTTTTCGGAGGGGGGGGGGGGCACGCGGGAGTGTGCCAGGAGAGGAGGCGAGGCCTCGAGAGGACCGCAGAAAGCCCTGCCCGACAGCACCGCGCGCCCTACCGCGCCTCAGCGTGCCGAAGGGCACGGAGGCCGATTATGAGTGTCGTCGTTGCTTCTCGTCTGTCTCGCTCTGGCCCCAGTGTTGTGGAGGACGATCAACGGAGAGGAAGCATGTTGCCAAGTAATTTCCAGATGTCTGAAACATGTAAACACATGTTTTAAACACGCAGAAACATGTTTTGAAACATGTTCAAAGCATGTTTCCGACATTTTGAACACATGTTCAATTCTATGGTAGGATTGTTAGGGTGTCCATTGTCGTGGCATCCATAATTCCAGTGCGACCCAGATCGACTTCGGGTGGTATCTGGGGGCACTATAGTCAGTGGAACATCGTTGTTAACTAGACGTCGACGAGCATGAAGATGTATCGGGGGCGGCTTGGCGGAAGTGTCTTGGGTTCCTCCCATCTCCCGCTATCCGTCATCGTTTCTCTATTTCTGTTCTTCCTCCAGGCTCCATCCTCCTCTCGCGCACACACTTCGGATACCCGCACACGCGCGCGCGCATTCACGGCCACGCGCGCGCACGCGCACGCGCACCCGCGTGCACCCTCTCGCCTGCATTGCCCCAACTCACACACACACAGACACAGACACACACACACACACACACACACACACACACACACACACACACACACACACACACACACACACACACACACACACACACGCACACACACACACACACACACACACACACACACACACACACACACACACACACACACACACACACACACACACACACACACACACACACACACACACACACACATCCGTAGCCATTTTGGCTCAAGGCTATGAACCGCCCGACGACCGCGAGTCCGTTCTCGGGCGTCTCTGAGCGCGAGGGGGTTCGCGCTTTGAGGCCAGATCCTTTGAACAAGATTCTCCCTCCAGTGGCCAGCCTGGTCGTCATCCTGCTTCTCGCGGGCACAGCTTCAGAGTCTGTGGTTGAGGGGCAATGGCGCCGCCCGCCGCTGGTACTAAGGGAGGAGGCAGTCGTGCAGCCCGTCGTGACAAATGGCTCTGCAAGTCTTGCCTCGGACGTGATCACAAGCCCTATGTCAACTTCGCTGACAAGCTGTGCTGCAACAGTTGCGGCCTGGCCAAGAGCGTCGTGTACGGGGGCCCCGTCAAGCCCAGTGCGCCCTCTCGGCCAGCGCCGTGGGCCGCAGGTGGCAAAACAGCAGGGTCGCTCTCGGTCCAGCTGCTCGAGATGCAGAAGCAGGTCCAATCGCTCACGTCGCAGCTCAAGCAGGCGAAAGCTAAACCACCCGAGTCGGCGATGGCCACGGCGGG